CCTCTGCCACATCATCAGCAGCACTGTTGGAGCACTATTATCCAAGAGATCGAGTGGTGCATTGCTGAGACAAAAGGGAGTACCCTTTCCCAAAGCAGGGAATCAAGAGGGAACACAAGTCACCTTGCAAGTTTGCTACCTGAAATCAGTGTGCTGGAATGCCGCCCTTGGAGGTAGGCTGGAAGCATCATCTCATCGTAGCCTTTTTGAAAGAGGAACAAGGGGGAAACCATGATGGGCGTCAAGGAGAAGCTGCTCAGACTAAGTGAGCAGCCAGAAAAATTCGTCAAGGGCACTGCTGCCAAGTGCACAGGTGTGTGGAGCAGTAGGACTTCTCAGGTGAAACCTTTTATGTCAATAAAAATAGTTCCCAAATAGCTTAAAAATCATACAGAAAAGGTGCCAAGAATACTTAAGTGAGTAGATAAAATTTTGAGAGTAGCTTTTCCACTGCCTTGAGACTATTTCAGAGCCAATCTGGCCCAAATAGAAACGCACATGAAGTTATGGTGATTCCTATGGTGATTCCTGCTCCTCCCTATTGGAACTGAGCAGGATGTTCCTGTGCTGATCAACAGATACTGTGGACAGATTCTCCTGTGATACATCTGGCTGGCACATGTGTGCCCTTTGGGCTGCTCTGACCAGCCAGCTCTGACTGTGGCCAAGAACAGTTTTTCTGGACAAGTGGTTAACAACATGTTGTTGGGTTGAATGCAGTGGGATGGAGGAAGACTTGGAGAAGCAGGAAAAAAAATCGATAAAAGGATTAGGAAAAGAGATGTGAAAGGAGGAAAATGGCTAGACAATATCACATGTTGAAGCAAGCAGCTCGTAACACAGCAGAATTTAATGCCATTGCCTGTGCTCTCAGCACCCTCTTGACGCTGGGCTGTACTGTGTCTTCAGGGGTTCCTCATGCCAAGCTGTCTCTGAGACTTTGTAGTTCTTGCTTATGCTTAAGGTGAGAACAGAGGGACTATAAATCAGTGAGCAGACTATAAAGGTTATTGTTTTTCCATTATTACCTGGTTTTGAAATCAATCTGGCAGTTGTTCTTCTTGTTAGCAGTCCTGATTTATGCCATACATAGGACAATGAAAGCAGTGATAATACTGTAAACTCAGGGAAAGTTATGGTTAGCTGTTTACTTTAGGAAGGAGAAAGAAACCCAGGAAATTGTACTGGTTTAGACAACTACTATAGCTGTACCTCTCCTGCTGCAATTAACAGACACTGTATAAGCTGTGTTTCTGTTTCAGCTGCTACAACAGACAAGAAAAACCCCAAGAAATTTAGCTACAATCACCTTATCTTCATCAATCAGCTTCTGCAGCACAGCACTAGTTAAGAGAAGAGCTAAGAAAGCACAGCCAAGGCACCTTTCTTTTACTTGTTAACCTTTAATATGAAAAAAATAAAATGTCTGGCATTCTTTCCCTTGAGACTGCTGGTGTTCTGCTAGGCAGCTGAAGTGATGTGCATGACGTGTCAGTAAGCAGTTCATGCTGTGACCATGAGGTTTGCTGTATCAGATAGCACAAAACTCACAGCAGTAAAATAGCTTGCTAAAATCTTTTATATAGCTCTTTGAAATGTGCTGTTCATATCCCTCTAGCTGATTGTGTCTCTGAAATAAAATGGAGATTGTAGTCCAGAATAAGCCAACCTCTGTTCAGGGCTACAATTTGCAAAACCTAGTGCAGAGACATTAGAATAAAACCCGAAGGTTAGTGTAATCTCTTATTTCAAGATGGAGTTAGGATCTGCAGTTATTCCCCTCCTTTGGAAGAAGGAGTTTGCTTTGATGACCCTGACTTGGAAGCTCTTTTGCTTGTGACTGAAATGTTTTAAATGTGGAAAGTGGAAAATGTACCAGTCTCACTTGATGTCTCTGATCAAGTATGTCCATCTTTGAGAAGTCTGTAGAGTAAATCTTGCTGCAGTGGCCTCTGCAAAGCAGCACCAGTAAACCTACTCAGCCCTGCCAGATTTGGTGGCCTCTCTTCCTGTGGCCTTGTGAGGCTGTGTGATCCCTTGTCCTGGTATTCCTGGAGTCCTTGAACATGTCTGGTCTTCTCCACAGTGTTTTACATCAGCAATGAGCTACTTACCCTGTGTGTGCCTGCTTCATCCTCCTGACACTTTTTCTCATGCTTTACTGGGAAGGTCAGCCAGGCAGAATGGTTCTGATGTGTTTGGAAAGAAATAATTTATCCTTCAAGCTTTAATCCTTGAGAAATAAGTTATTGGGGGGGGGGGGGGATTTTACAGGAAAAGTAAGGTTAATGGCAAGTCTCCAAGCAGGCACTTATCAGAGTAGTGGAGAAGTTGATTAAACAGAATCACATGGTAGAAAATAAGCTGAGCACACATTGCCCTTAGTCTTATGCTCACTTAAGGCATGAGGCCCATAACCACTAGAAAATTTCAGTCCTTGAGCCAGGGAACAGGAAAATGTTTCACAGACAATGTGATTAAGGAGCAGTGATGTGCTGCAGCAGCAGCCAACATTAAACTCTGCTTTGCTATTTGGCTTGGAATGAGTGAACATTGGCCTGGAGGATTGCTGGTCTAGAATAAAGCCTGAACTTTGGGTAAGTGTCAACAGGATTGCCTGAAGTACCCGGGGGGTAAATGAAGGAGCATAGACTCAATCCACAGTGCTCACACACTGGGGAGTGACAAAGGATGGGCTACTCAGTGCTTGGCCTAAATGGAGGAGAGCAGAGGATACATTAGGGCTGCTGTGTACCTTTAGGAGAGGGTAAAGTAGGGCCCAGGGTTGGGTCACCATGTAAGAAATCAGCATTTCCTTCCTTCCTTCCTCCCTCCCTGCCTCTCACACTTCATTGGGTTTTGCTAGTCAATACCTGGAATCACCTGCTGTAGGTATAGCATGTACTTACAGCTCTGAGCTGGTAGGAGGACAAACTTTCAAGCTGCTGTGGTTCCCAACGTTTCTTTGTTGATGACCATATAAGACTGCAGCTAAATACTCTGTATGTGCCATGGGCCTGCAAGTGTGTGCTCAGAGGTCATCTCTAGCTTTTCAACCAGAAGTACATTTACTTGTTTTGGTTTTTTTTCTGTCTCCAACTTGTGCTCTCCTCCAGCAGACTGCCAACAACAGGCTTGTGGCCACCTTACTTGGGAGTTGAGTGTGTAGGCACATGTTTTATATCATGGAGTGTCAGTGACCTGACAAATGCAGGCATCTGAGCTGAAACTATGATGCAGTTCCTGTGTGCCATGGAGCACAAGAACAGGGGAAGGAGGGAGAAACATTCAGTGTTTCCTGGTTACAAGCCAGGGACAAATTACCTGGTGTTTTAGAGAGACCACTGCTTTTCTCCTGCTCCAAGCATCCCTGAATAGTGGGGGAAGGACTGCCTCAGCCAATCCCCTGTCCGGGTCATGACTCGGGCAGCAGCTGCCTTGGGTGCTCGGTGAAATTAAGCTTAAGCTGCCTGACATGCTGTGCACAGCCCTCAGGGCAGTGACATGGAGGAACTGGCAAGATCACAAGAGTTCAGCTGGAAAGAGATGGTCCTTCCAAGAGCGGAGTGACAGGGACCAAAGGTGCTGCTGCCTGAGCTGGCTGTTACAAGAACTCCACAGCTTCCTTGCAGGTGTTTGGGGAACAGAACTCACTGATTTCTGAGACTCCCTCTCACTCCAGCCAGGGCACAAGACCCCCTTGCTTACCCACCTGTGAGCTACATCTGTGTGCACCTTTGCTCTTTAGCTCTCCTGGAAGTATCAGAGGGACTTCCTGTGTTAGAAGTGTTTAAACCAAAAAAAAATCACTGTTCAGAGAAAGAAAATTGACCCCTGATGGATGACAAATACTAAAATAAATTATTTGGGAACAAAATTCCCATCTTTCTGCACTTAATCCAGTAAATTTTGGTTCTTGCCTACATGTCAGCAAACTTTGTGCAGCCTCCTCTGGAAAGTCTCTGTCCCTTGCTGTCTCACAGCCAGCTCTGGCTGTTGTCTGTCTTCTCTGGCTCCTCTGCTCTGCAATCCTGCCTCTGGCTCCCACTCTGTCCCTCACTCTACCTGCCCCACTGTGCCCACAGGGGGTTTCTTCCAGCTGCTCCTTCCCTGAAAGTGACTTTTTCCGTCTCATGCACATTTTCTGGAAAATCCTGCCCTGACAAAGCAGCAGCAAGTCCCTGCTGCCTGGCAGTGCTTGAGAGCACTGATACCTCCCATGGCTGCTGGGGAAATGGGCTTGTGCTGTTCTGCAGTGCAGAGGGGTACCCTCACCTGCTGGAGGGTTTTGAGGCATTCCCCTGAGAAATGGAGGGGTGAAAGCCGCCCTGCATGGCCTGTGCTGTGCACTTGAGCAGTCAGGGACAGAATGGCCCCTGACCTCTCATGATTGACATCACTGTAGCTGACCTGCAGCCCATAGAGGGATCAGCTCTATGAGCCCTGACAGTGAACTTTCACCTGAAGAGAATCATGAGGGCAAAAACCAATTGTCTTCTCAATGCTGCCCATCTCTTGGTGAATGGAGCACTCACAGACAATTTCCACCATTTTGTTTCTGTGCCTCTGCTTCCCTGCTCTTCTCCTGGCTGCTTCTGCCCCTGCTTGTGCACTCTCTCCTCTGGCTCCCTTACTTTCACATGCACACATGCAGAGCCTGCCAAGCCAGTGTCCAGCCCAGGATCCTGCCTCACATGGGCCTTGCTTTCTCTTCAGGCCTTACTCTGTGTTGCTCCCTGCTTTGGGCAAGGGCAGCTTTAGTCCCTGCTCTCACTGCAGCAAGGGCTGTTTTCTCTTTCTTCTTGTTCTGAAAGCATAATGCCTAAAGTACCTGGTGGCTTTTAGTCCTGTGGCTGCGACCTGATCACAGACCAACCTGACAGGGCATGGCATCCTTTATTAACAACACTTTCTCACAGGAGGCCTCCAGCACTACCAGGAGCCATGCTCTCTCCTCAGTGACTGGCTTTCACATCATATAATTCTTTCTTTCTTGACAGATTATGTTATAACCTATGAGCACAGAAAGTCCTGATCCTCATGTTTCTCTGCTGTCACCTGTGGGCTCCTCCAGAGCCGTGAAGAAGGGGGAACTCCAGCCCCATCATGAGAAGACCGGGTGAGAAGTACCTGTGGCGTTTTGGGGAACAGCACACTTTGAGAGCTAGTTTTAATTTATTTTTAGCAGTTATGAAGGATGGAAATTATGTTCTTCATTCAGTGGTGAACTACAGGAGCAGTTCTGCCTTCCCTCTCTGGGATGAGATTAGACATTATTTCATTAATGCAGGGAAAATATGCCAATTTGAGCCCCTTTAAGCAAGGGATGAATAAAGCTCATAGTGTGTTGGCAAAATTGTCTTCCAGGCGATACAGACTTCCCCCCAGATAGATGTCTGTTGGTGCATCACATGGCTAGGTGCCTGTGGTGTCTTAACCTTGAGGGAGTAACAAACCTCTTCATTCCCCTCCTGATCAAGGTGGCTGTGCTGTCTGAATAGTTGGCCACATGTGGGGGATGCAGCTGTGTCACCCTGATTCTTAAGTTTTTCTAAAGCCTTCTGAGTTTACATTCTATTGGAAAACTTTCCCACACAGTTTCTGTAAATAACATATTGTTTTGCATTCCTTCATGGGGGTGGAAAAACTTGATGTACTAGTAGTTTGTCCAATGTCTTTGGAGAGGTGGCCCATTCACTCTCCAATCCACTGTCACCTTTGGAAAAGTATAAAAGTTGGAGTCAGAAAATAAACTCTCTCTTTTACCTTGCAAAGTAGCAGGTAGCTCGTGTTGTGCTTTCTCGTGTCCTATAGCGACGCAGCTGCACTACAGAACAAGATGCCTGGGCTATAACTGATTCTGTCTTGCTTTATCAAGACCTCTTCCTGTGTGTTCAACCTGGTTGGTTCTTGCCTGGTTTATTATTAAAGACTCATGCCCAGCTCTATCTTGCCCTTATGAATCTCAGGCTAACCCCATTTCCCTTGCCCCATCTTACTCCGCTTTACATATGGCACTCACTCATTCCCTTTGCCTCTGGTTGCCAAGGAAGGGAGTGGACTAGACTGTAGCAAACACTGATGTCTTGTGTGACTGCTGGCAAGTCCATGAGGCCTAAATCCCTAAAAGAAATCTAGAGTCTCTCCATTCAGTGTAAGGAAGCTGTCCACTTCCAGCAAGGACTTAGCCACTTAGCCTTCATCCTGCTGGCCTAAACTGGAATTTAGGGATTTAATTCTCGACTCTGAACATGTGATTTTGTCACTTAGATTCCCTGGGCCTTACAGTGCTGAACACAGCTCATAGGAGGAGCCTTGAAAAGCATAGCTTTCTCTTCTGGGGCCTCTGCTGAGCTGTTGTGGGAGGATGATCATTTGAGCCTGTGGCTATGGAGTCAGGAGGGTGCATTTGTGAAAGTCTGTAAGATACTTTGTCTCTGCACTGGAAAGGCCTTGGCAATGCTTGGCTACCATATGCAATCAGTAAACCATATATATCTTCCTTGTGAAGGGTGAATCATAGCAATAAGGGGCTGCAATGTGACTGTCAGGCACAAAACCACCACCTGTCAGCCTTCTTCTTCCTCCTTGCTACTTGAGTCTTCAAGGAGACCACAGTTATGTCATCCTTTCCTGGCCCAAGCATCCCCTTTAACTCATACACTCTTGTCTGCACCCCATTTGAGGAAAAGAACCTCTCTTGTAAACCTGTTGTCTCCCTAGTGCTGCTGTGTGAGTAAGCTGAGCCTGCAGCTAGCACTTGTGAGCATTTGTCTCTAGAGCTGAGCAATGTTATTGTGAGGGAGTTGCTGAGGGTAGGTAGGAAAAACTTCTCCAAATTCAGACAGGTAGTGTAAGGCCACTGTTGGCTTGGCTAGAGAAGAAAAGGCTTCCCTGCCCCAAGCCCCATAGCTCATCGCCCAGTTACGCTGCTCTGCTCCTGCACAAGCTGTTGGTGTTGGATTCTGCATCCTCTGGAAGCAGACCTGCTGCTGCATCCTGCGAGTCAGCACCCAGCTGCCTCAGTAACTCATCTTTCCTTCCATTCACAGGTCTTCTACGCATGGCGACTCCACCCATGTGAGAGCTCTCTTATGTGAGTGCCCAGCAGCACACTTTGCTGTCTGTGGTCTGTGGACATTGACTGGCATCTAAGCGACACCCCAGCTCCCTCCTCTCCCCCTAGACGCCACTGTCCTAGAGCCTCCATGTGCATTTGCTATGACATACATCAGTGTTGATGAGAGACAGGAACACTGCCGGGTGATCTCGAGCTGCCAAAATAATCAGCTCTGTGCACAACATGGCTTAAAGGATTTTTCAGTTAGCAGCATGCATCCACTAAAGAACCTAGACACTCATATTTTTTCTGGGGACTTCCACACTCTTGCCTACCACACAGGCAAGGCACGTTTGGTCAGTCCTGTGGAAAACCGGATGTATCGGAGTGTGGAAAACCTACACTGGGCAGCAGTTGCTGACTGTGGGCTGTATTCTCACTGCCGGAGCCTGGATAACGAGATCATCTTTCGCTGTAGAGGCACCAGTCAGTGGACAGAAGGCTGTGTGGATGTGGCCCCAGTACAGAGTGCATCAGACTCTCTGAGGAACCTTTCTCTCCGTGCTAAACAGACATCTCGATCCGCACAGGATGTGCTCCTGCCTCCCTTTGCCAAAGTGCCTCAGTGGCTCTTCCCTTCCGCACAGGAACGAGCCCTACAGGGGGATGCCAGAAGAGAGCTGAAGGAGAAGCTGAGGCTGCACAGCAGTAAGGTGGCAGAGCCCTGTAAGCCCGTGCGCCCACAGGTGGCCCTGCCGGAGCTGATGGCCCAGGAGTGCTTTGGATGCCAGGCGTGCCGGCAGGGCAGGAACGGCTGTGCTGTGAACTGCTGCACGCTTCTGGTGGAACACACAGCTCTCAGGCACAGCCTCACAGCGGGACAGGGACTGTGCTTTGCACACAGGATCATCAGCCCAGAAGACATCAAGCAGGAAGCTCAGAGGAGGCTTCAGCTCCGAAGGCAGAATAGCTCCCCGAATTTGCCCCTTCAGCACGCTGGGGAAAGCCATGACATGAGCAAAACCAGAACAGCAGAGATGGTAGAACAGTACAGTGGGGAAACAGATGGCAAAGTCACATTGGGACAGAGCAAGAAAGGCCGCTGCAAAGGGAGACTCTACATACCCACCTTTGAGGAATTCAAGCAAATGAGAAGTAAGGAGGAAAATTCATCTGACAGTAGCAGTGGGCCAGCAGATTGTTTGAAAAAGGGTCTGCCTGCAAACCAGACACTGGAGGAGGAAAACAGTAAGAATGTCTGTCCAGAAGCTTTAGAGACCAAAGCTGTGAATGAACCTGCTGTCAGAGCAGAGGAGGATGATGATGTATTTCATGAAAACCACACCTCTGCTGGCTTTTCCCAAAACCCAGACACGTGGGGTGGTTTCAAGATGAGCAGTCCTGAGGTGAAGGACAGAACCTTCCAGACCTCCATCCCAGATACATCACCAGTCCCTATTTGTTCCAGTCCTATTCCACGATCACCTCTACAGGCAGGAACAATACACAGTGCTGGGCAGGAGATCTTCAGTGATGAGCAGCAGAAAGGAGAAACAAGACAATTAAATGATGTCCTCCACCTTGCAGGGCAGTCACTGGCTTCTGAAGCCCAGTCCTCTTGCTGTTCATCGCTGCTGTTAGAAGCCACAGACTTATCCAGCTATGGAGCTAAGCTACAAAAAATGAAGGATGAATTCATAGGTTCGGCCTTGGAACTTATTAAGAAAAGGTAACATGCTCTGTGGGGTCACCTGAAAGCAGTTTCCTTATTAATGATCTGGTCTTTCTCCTGATAGGTACATTTAATTCCTGTAGCATAAATGTGCTGTTGGCAGAGCCTTTCATCTTGGAGTCTCTGATAGCCACATGGATATGTCTTTAGAGCTGTTCAGCTTAAATTCCACCTCGTGAGGGATTAAACATCAAAAAGCATTTTCATCTAGACTTTGCCTTTTTGTTCACCTTAATCCTGTAAAGACAACAGCCATTAGTAGTTCTGACACCCAGTTTCCCACCCATTTTATTTCTGTATTAAATAGTCAGAATGTCTTTTTTTTTTTGTCTTTTTTTTTTTTTAGCATCTGTTAAAAGTAGAACACACCAAAGAATACAAAGTACTCATATGATTTCTTTGAAGAAAGATGTAGAGTCTGTCCCACCACTTCAGGACATGAATTTAGATAGTGTGACATGCAGCAGCAAGTGCTTTCACTTGCTGCCTGAATGTAGTGAACAGGCACACAAGGGTAAGATGGCTGCAATGAGTCTTTAACCCCCTCTTGGAGACCTGGTCAGGCAGTGAGTGAAAGTACTTGTAAATACTGTCCTTCTGCCATCTCTGTGTAGGCAGCCAGGGAAAATACTTCTGTAGAGCCTTCCTCCTTCTCCATCCAGGGGTTTTCCCCTTCTCTGGGTAAGATGTTCACAACAACTGCTTTCTCTATCCTAGTTTTGGACACTGCAGTCCTGTTACCTCCCACCTGCCTAAGGAGTGAGGATCCCTTTCTATGCAGGGTGGCACAGCAGGAATCAGCAATGTTCTAGAAGCTACAAATTTGGAGCAGTTATCACTGTCTTATCATGAGATGAGGCTGATGGGAAAAGGAGGAGTAAGTGTTGGTGGAGTGGTTTGTTTCCATGCACTTGGCTTTCATGGTTGGACAAGAATTCCATTAGACTTGGTTCCTGGCTGCTTCTGCAATGCACAGATGGATGTGTGAAATGCCAGGGCATCAACCTTGTATGCTGCCTTTTTATTTCTGGAATGCATGGGCTGAGGCTGGACTCTGCTTTTGGAGGAGATAGTAGTGACTTCTGCACAGAAATGAGTCGTCTGAAAGAACTTAAGTGGGGCTGAAGCCAGAGTGACAGTAGAAATAATTCTGCAGCTTTATAGTCCAAAGGGAGGTAGGTGGTGTCAGAGCCCTCAGTGCTTCCCTCAGCTGTCCAGCCCAGCCTTGTGCTTTTCTTCTACATGAAAACCCAATGAAGAAGTAGATGAGAAAGTTATGGGATACAACCATTTTAATGGATTAGGCTATTTTTGTCATGAATGTGAAATTAAATACGCAGAATGGCACAAGCAGTAGGGGTGTAAGAACAGCTCACTTTGCAGATCAATTATTTTACTGGTGTCTGGAGCCCAAGCTGCACGCAGAGCAAAGTACAAGAAATGAGGAGTGCATATTATCTTCCTTCTCACTACTCTCCCAGCCTCCAAACACTTCCTGCCCAGGGCATTTATGTGTGGTTTCTGTGCTTTTAATATCCACAGTGGTTTTTGTTTCTGTGAATGGGTTCAGTCTCTCTAGTTGGATTTGTTAAAATCTATGAAGCAATTTTTATTAACACCAAAATGACAATTAATCTAAAAATGTGAATGACAATGGTTCCAGTATTAGAAAGGTAGTTTTATATGTGAAGGAACCACCCTGGCCTTATTGTTTTCAGAGTAAGAACAATTAATGGTAATTATTATTGCCAAAGTACTGGTTACTTGGAAACTCTGGTTTCCTTTGTTTTGAAATTTATCAGTTTTCTATCATTTTCACCTGAGACCGTAATGTCCCTAAATATTCACTACTTCAGCTGATTTTCACTGCAAAGGTGGGAGATTTTTGTCTGCATTTTGGGTACTAAATTATGATTGCTGGCATCCAGGCCACATTCTTTCTAAATCTCAAATTAAATTAGCTGATAGCTGGGGATTTGGTCCCGTTTCCACAGATACTCAGCTTAGCAAGCCTCTGATAGAGATGTTGTGATGGAGCATCAAAGAGTAAAATAGCTAAAATTGTCTTCTCTTTCTAGTGCTTCTGTATAAGTGTCAGTTTTACAAAGCAGTTTTGTCTGTAAGTTAGCAGTCTCCATAGTAATTCATTGTTAATTCCTTAAGATTCAGTCAATTGACTTAATATTTTGTCAGTGAAGATTAGATTATCAATCTCATAATTATTATGGCTTTAGCCCCCTCAGTGGTCACTGGATACCCTTAACTTAGGTTGTAGTCCTGACTGGGAAGGGGTGTTGCTATCTAGGTGGAAATCCTGTAAGCTTTTCAGTACACAGTCCACTTTCTGAAATTGCTTAAGTGGGGAATTGTTCAGGATAAGGACATGCAAATACCTCAGGTTTGTGTCTATGAAATGAGGGACATGGTGGCAACAGAAGGCTGCACAATTTAGCCAAGGATATGACTAAGAAGGAAGGCTTCCTAAAAAGAGTGATGGGCTGTGTGTGGGGTGACAACAGCACAGTGGGTACAATACCAACTTCCCCTAGCAGAGGGCTGACACCAAGGCAGGGAGGCAGGTGACAGCAAGGAAGGCATGGACAAAAATGTTTCCATTAGTCAGAGAGTAAGGAACATGTTGAAAGAGCTGACAACTGCTGGCTTGGATAATGACAAAACCATGAAGAGGCCCATAGAGACAGTGAAGGAAAGCAGGCCCATTTCCAGTTGTACTCCATCCCCAGTACCTCCATTTCCATGAAATTCAGAATTGATGGCCAGAGATTTTAAAACACATTCAAAAAGAACTGGTCCTCTCTGTGTTGGCCCAAGCGCATCACCTCTCTTGGGGAGAACAGGAAAAGCTGACATCAATCCAGGCACAAACTCTTGTCCCAAAAAGTGATTTAATCCAACAGAAGGAAAGATACTGGAGTCCCCACTTCTACGCCCCTCTGTGAGGGCAGAGGGGACTTGACTTGCTTGAGCAGGCGATGGTGTGAACCTGTTGGCAGCACAGATCTCTGCCAGGAGGAGGGGACTAGAGAAAGGGGCAATATCCTCTTTTCTTGGCAATGTCCCCTCTTCCTCCTAAGCCAGAGGCAAAGGTTAAAGGAGCAGCCCTAAGATGTTGTTCCACAAAACTGCTTGTGTCCTCCCCATTTTGCCCACGTCTCTCTGATCACACACTGATCTAGTGGTGTGTGGAGCAGCACTTGCCCCAGGACCACACAGCCAGTACATCAAGCAGGAGGGATCTAATCATGACAAGAAGAAACCTCCTTTCACACAGTGTGGGCTCTGCATCACTGCCTTTCTTACCTCCAGCTGACCAGCTATGAGGTTGAATTTCTCAATCTTCAGTCATGTTTCCTTAGCTCATCTCTCTGGGTAATACTGGCTCTTATTCCCATTGAAGATGACGTCTGGAGATTTTTTTTTAAATATTCCTTTTGGGCTATGGAAACCACAATAAGTGGTGGCATCTGGTCTGTAGACCCTATCAGCAGAGAGTTGTTGTCAGCTTCACTTAGAGGAGCAGCAATACTCTGGAGTGTTTCCCATATTTAAGTGGATGATCTTGAAGCACTGAAAATGACAAATGAAAGTTCAGCATCTCTCATGAGAGTATGTTCTGTATAGTGGGAGTTGATGTGATCAAGAAGATAATATTCCAATTACGAGCTTTGCTACTAACCGTGGGTTCATCCCATTGCCTCTCTGTGCCCCAGCACGGTCTTTTTTCTGTGTTATTTAACCAGGAGCTGTTTGAGCGGGAGCAGTTTTTGGAAAGAGTCATTTTTGGCAGTGGCCCATTCTCTTCAAGAGTTTTCTTGCTCCTTAACATGTGCCTTCCCTCCCATGGGTTTGCCCAGCTGATCTATTCATACTTTACACAACTCCGTGAATCACCAATGAAATTATCTGTCTGAGAATACATGAGGGAGGGGTTTTAAGCCCATATAATTTCATTATTTTAGATCATGGCCACACAGACAGTTACACACACTTGAGAAGGAGTACCGCAAGCATGGCTGGGGACAGGAGGGAGGAAAAAGACAGAAACCTCTCAAGCCAGACCAGGCCAGGCCAGTACCATTGAGGGCTGCAGCCTTGCTGTGTGCCTGTGCTGCTCTTACTGCTGCCTTATAAGTGCCACAGAGTGCTCTGTGCCAGCAGTGATGTTGGTATCCCCTTTCTACAGGCTGGAGAGTAGAGACCTGGAGGGGGACAGCAAAAAGCAAATTCCAGGAGCCTGCTGTTGGCACTTTTGCCATTGTCACATAGCCATGGCTAAACTCTTTTTAACTGGTTGTGTCAGCAGGGATCTGGAAACATAAATGGAGGAAGATGAAAAAGCATCGGCTGAAGAGATGCAAACCAACTTTTCTGGCCTGACAAGAGAGCCAGTTTGTGTTCTGGGAGATTTGTTCTCTCTTCAGTCATTTAAGTATTGGCTGATGGTGTGTTATTGGAGCCAACTGTCATTCACTGCAAGGAGAATGCCCATCTGTCTCATGTGTTTGCTGGTAGTTGACACTGTTGGAATTGCACATTAGCAGTGTGACCTACCAGCATAAGTTCACAAGTGAAGCCTTTAAGAAGAAGCAAATTTTTCTCATAGGAGATTTCTGTTAAGCATAAAATACATGCAGAACCTGAAATATGTTCCAGACACTGGCTTCCTGTATATATAAGCATCCATATTCAGTCCTCACAACCTTCCTTTTTAAAGGAATCCAAGTCCATAAAAATAAAGTAAACCCAAAAAAAAAAAAAAATTCTTCCCAACAGGCTTCATTATGCATGGAAATAAGATATGTTAGAGAGCCTGTTAAAAAAAATGTATCACAAATAGTATCACAAACAACAGCCTGTCAACTACTCTGTCAAGTCAGTGGTTTTGCACCAGACTGTGTCTGTCTGGGGAGTGATGCTGTCTACAGAGGGGGGAACGTGGGGTTGGACAGGCTGCCTGTATCAGCCAGGCCAGGCCCTTGTTGGCACCAGGCAGCCGTGAATGAGGGCATCAGAACTGCCAAGTGAGAGCAACACACACTGCCAGGCTTTTCAGGTCTCAAGTGCACCAAAAGGCCTGATCATGAGTTCACTGAAAACAGATAGTATCTTTCCAGTGACTTCAGTGGGCTTGGGATCATATGAGATGAAAAACAGACGGAATACTCCTTAAATCCTCTAATCCCTTCAAAGTATTATGGTTTATAGCAGGTGATTTTCTTCCAGATGAGCAATATGGTTTCTGTGTTGGCAGTATCTCCTTAAATAGCAGCAAATATGGATGTGGCCTACTTAGAAAGGAGTGTTTCTGGTCCCCATGGAGCACCTCATGTTTTATGGACACAAAAATGCCCTGTGAACAGAGACTTGATAACCCAGACTGATGTTGGCACAAGGGCAGTTAGCCAATTTGCAATGTCTTAACTGAGCAGTGCTTAGAGCCCCTGAAACACAAGCACAGCCATCCATGCTGACCAGTCACGATCCCTGCCTGCACTTTTCCTGAACTGTTGCAGATCATAGTTTGAATCTGGGCTCTCTGCTCAGTCTCATCTGTGTCAGGAATGGCAGGAGAGCTGCATCCATGCTGTTCAATGGAGTCTGCTTCTTCTCTTGCAGCTGCAATGCCGAGACTGCTGCCAAATCCCCCTCCAAGGGGCGGTGTGATCTGAGGGAAGCTGATCTCCCACCTCTGGAGGACAGCCAGCAGCCCACAGCGATGTCCATGGCAACAGAGACCTGGGAGGACAAGCCAAGCAATGAGACATCCAGTGACACTCCACCTGCAGGGAATGTAAGGGAGAGGAATTCCCCTCTCATGCATGTGTTTAGGATTTTTCCCTTGTTAGAAGCTCTGAAGGTTCCCTTTATTGTAGGAACTGGGCAGGCTGGGAGATGGCAATCTGGGAAACTCCTTTGAGTGATTAAATGCTGTTAGAAGCATTAGAAGCTTTTTTATTACACTCAGTAAAACAGGAGTGAGTTTTTTGCCTCTGCCTATGTGCTGCTGCATTTCATGCAGGGATGCAGGGAGTTCAGCAATAACCCCTTCATGACTTCCAGTGTGTCTGGGGTTCAGACAGATTCCCTCCTAGTGCCCCCTTGGACAAGCTGCTGGTGCAGGTGGGGCACGGAGGCTGGACTTCCTGGCCCTGCAATGCTGAAACCTTCACAGAGCAGCTGCAAGTGAACTCAGGTCGCTGAGCACACACAGCCAGGGCTGTGCTGTTGACTTATTCATGGTTATTTGACAGCCATGATCCAACCACCTCAGAGCTGCTGTACTCAGAGCTGTTGCATAGCTCTCAGAGGGAGAGGGGTCCTTACTTGTTAGGGCTGAGCAAAACAGAGGGACTCAGGGGGACAGATTTCTTAATCATCAAGTAGCAGAGCTACATTTACCATCCCATTACTGATGAGTTTCCTTTTCCCTCCTTTGGCAACTGAAGTTCAGTGTCTGCAAAACCAGGTGCTGCTTTGACCTCAGCCTTGCTCCAAACCCTTTCTTGCCTTTCTTGCAGACCCCCAGTCCTGCCTGTCGCCGATCCAGCTCCGACATCGTGCATGAGAGCACGGATGGTGCCAAGGCCCAGCGGGAGTGCCGCCTGCGGCCGCACTTCAGTGACCCGATGCCAGCAGACTCGGTGAAGAGGAAGCAGCTGGAGCTGAAGATCGCGGCTGCGGCGCGGCAGCACGCACAGAAGCGCCGGCAGGAGCGAGACTGTGGTACACACACTGCACACTCAGGGGCTTATGGGCCAGATGCTGCGCCCTGCTGTGCTGCTGTAAACGTGGAGTAAATCTATAAACTAGGGGAGGGAAGCGTCCTGGGTTGTACCCAGGTGTGCAGGAAATCAGGATCTTCTCTGCTCTGTCCCTGACTGGTAGGTGGCAGGGGAGGAGGCAGCCCAAATGAGTTCACAGGTATGGGTAGAGATAACAGATCCCAGACTTCACCTGGGAGCCGTTTACTTCTGACTCCCACCAGTCTCAGCAGCAAAACGGGAGACATCTCACAGCCCTGCTTCACCAGAGCCGGCCTGTCCCCGCAGGGTTCCTGCTGTTCATGCCTGTGCCAGCACGAGTTCCTCGGGTGAGCTGTGTGCAGCTGGCAGTGCCTGTAACGATTTGTGTCTGTTCTCAGGTCCAGTGGTGGCAAAAGCCAACCTTGGCCATGGTGGCAGCTTTGATGAGACCCGACGCACCCCACGGGGCTCCCTCCGCTCCAGACGTCACTGGAGCAACGTCAGCAGTCTGAGCACGGACAGCGGGATTGTTGGTGTGAACGATGCCCGGGATGACCTGGATCCCACTGCGGCCACCCGGACCAAGCCAGCGGATGTGGAGAGGGCAGATAGTGGCATTGGGCAGATGCCAGCCAGGAAGTGGAGGAACAGGGCATCTGAAACACTGAGCTCCCTGCAGGCCTGGGAAGCCCACCGTCCCTGCACCGACTGTGGAGAAAGGGACCTCCCGGTGGAGACAGATGTTCAGAACTGCAACCAGAGGCGGGCTGATCTCTGCGAGAAGTGCCGCAAGCGCAGGACGGAGCGCAAGGAATCTGTGCTGGAGTTTGTCAACACGGAGGCCAGCTATGGAGAGGACCTGCGCATCATCAAAGAGGAGTTCTACCTCCCCATGCAGGCAGCTGGGCTGCTGAGCCAGGAGCAGCTCCAGGGCATCTTCAGCAACATCCAGGAGCTCATTGACCTCAATGAGAACTTCCTGGAGATACTTCAAGAAGAGATTGATCAGGCCTTTGATCAGGTATGATGCTGCCTCTGCCCTCTAAAGGGGCTGGACTGGGCAGACTGGAATAAGTTTTGTATTAGGGGGGCAGCATAGGTGGAGCAGAGGAACAGGAGGTAGGACTCCTGGGTTATGGTCAGCTATCAGCTATCTAGTCCCTTGCTCTCTTAGCTATTCTGTTATCAGGAGCTCTGTGCCAGGTCATGGCTGTTGGACTCACTGTGCTGTGGTGATGCCACTGACATCATCAGTCTTGCTCATTTATCCCATTAATAGTTTAGTGGTCCCATTATCAAAGTTAGTTTTAGGCCAGTTGGCCTGGATGCTGGTAAGAATGTGACCGTGGGGGCACAGAGCTCAGCTTGCTCTGTCTCTCAGGCTGTGCTCTTCCAGCCCTGAGCTGGGTGGCTTCATGCTGGCTTGGCTGTGTTTGCCTTGGCTTACAGTTTACTGCAGCTTGGCCCTAGGCTGCCTGTGGGGCCAGGCAGTGCGGGCTGCTCCCTGCTCTACAGCTGTGTATGGCCACTTCTACTGATGCACCCTGCCTTGCATAACAAGCTTTCCTGCCCCACCAGCATGGCACAATACACCCTCATGACTAAGAAGCTCAGTCTGGCCTTCAAGCCCTTGCTCTGATGAGAGGAGAGCAGACAGCTCTTTGCATGTGGAAGAGCAAGCAGTTAGACAAGCTTTCCTTGCCCTTCCCAGGCACTGACTCCCCCCTTTTGACTGGGAAGGGTGAGCCCAGCTCCACCTTTGGTCTGGTGCTCAGCTGATCCTGCAGCAGTTCATGCTGATAGGACTGAAGGCAGGCCCCGTGGCTGTGCCTCTCCTGAGCTAACTGAGCAGGGCCCTATTGTATACCTGCAGGGGGACGATGACCTGATGACCGTGTGCATCGGAGAAATATTCCTGGAATTTGTGAACATGCTGCCAGCCTTTCAGACATACTGTCTTCAGCAGTCCTCCTCTGTGAATATGCTCAACGCTCTGGAGAAGGAGAAGGAGTTGCTCAGGTGAGAAAGGAGATGAGCATATTTATCCAGGCTTTGGGGACAGAAAGGCAGCAGGCTGAGGGTGCAGCCTTTGTCAGCCCATCTAGATCAAAGTCTGATGCTAGTGTTCTTCAGTTATCACTGCTCCCTCTTGGGGTGGGGACAGTCATTTATTCTCAAAAAATATTCAATCCTTGGTATCTCCTCTGGTATCAACCAGTTGGTCCCCAGCTGTACTCTGTGTTTTGTGCTAGCAGTATATGCCCAGTGACCACTGCACTGAACTGTCACCAAATAACACTCAGCTGAGATCAACTCTCAGTCCCTGTGCTGGAGCCCAGGTTGGATTTCCACTGAAGTGGCAGAAAGCCACTTCATGGCACCCATGACTGGAATTTAGTTCCCATTCCTAGCCTTAGTCTGTTGGGCAATGTCAGGCAAGTAATTTCTCTTTCCACTGCTCAGCCAAATTCTTGTTTAATACGCTTTGTAATCTAATGATGAAAGGCATTACAAGTTAATGCAATCTGATATAAACTGATGTGTCTGCCTCATGTTTACGTCAGTAGGTACCAGAGAAAGATCACACCCTTGCTATTTTATGATTTAATAGAACACTGTTAGGATGTTATGTGCAAGTGTCCCAGGCACCTCATCAGGATTCTGCAGCTGAGCACAGCTGCAGAAATGGTTGTTAGTCTTTAATAAGACAGAATTCACAAGGTTGCTAAAAATGAGGGGGCTGCAGTGCCCGGCAGCTGTCAGCACCACGCTGTTCATTTGCATATAGGATTGCAGCATCTGCTAGCAGAACAACCAGCATTTCATCCTGTCTTCTTGAATCCCTGCAGAATATTCCTCAATGTCTCCCAGAATGACAACACAGCACTGCGGCGGATGAACTTGAGGTCCTTCCTGATGGCCCCTTTGCAAAGGGTCACCAAGTACCCCCTGCTGCTCAGCAGAATCATCAAGGCCACCACCGAGTATCACCCAGACCACGGCAGCCTGCGGGAGGCCAAGAGCCGCATCGAGTCCCACCTGGAGCATATCAACATGAAAACCAAGCAGGAGGGGAACACGTGGACCCTCCGATCCTTTCGCCAGGACAGCAAGAAGAAGAGGGAAGTCATCAACATTGAGATGAGAGAAACTGCCCTCAAAACTGTTGGTTGGCTGCGGGAGGAAACGCGGTTTGTGATGGAGGGGTCTCTGCAGCTGGCCCAGCCCCCTGATGGCCAGTGGGTGAAGAAGGGCAGCAAGACCTTGAAGTTCCAGAACATGCAGGTCCTCCTCCTGGTGAACATGAAGCGTGTGTCTGAGTCCAGCCTGGAATCAGCTGAGCCAGGGCCTGTGAAGGACGCAGTGCTGGTACTCATCAGAGACAAAAATAACGGGAAGTTCCATTTGCTCAGGGAGCCCTTGAGGCTGAGTAATTGCATCGTCTCCACTGATCCCGACTGTGACGACACCTTTGAGCTCATCGAGATCAGGCGGGAGGCGTTTGTGTTCCGGGACAGCGACCGGGCACGGACTCACCACTGGTTCAGGCAGATCAGGCGCTACTCCAGGGAGCTGGGCTCCTGGAAGAAGCGGCGGAACGCACTGCCCAACATCATGATCAGCACTCCTCACACCAGGCCCTGAGTCCTGCATGGGCAGGCTTGGCTTGACCAGTGACGCCTGCACAGACCATCAAGAGCCCCACTGACCTGAACTTGCTCCATGGACAACACAGGGAAGAGCCTGGTCCCCAAAGACTCTTACTAGCACTGGAAGCAAATGCCACAGCCTGGTGCTGAGCTCCAGCCTCTGGACTCAAAATAGTTTGAGGCTCATGTACATACAGAGATGGGCTCCACTCGAGGAGATCACTGAAGGATAATAATTTAACTTGTTAATGTTGCACTGCAGGAGAATGATGTATGATGCTTGCCATTGCATGGATCGTGTTGAAAGCCAGTCTTGACAATGAGAGAGGTTTCCACTATTGACTATTTCATCAACATTAGGTAAAGTCCAGGTATTCAGCAAAATTAGGTGCAGTATTATGCAACAGAGGATGAAAGCTGGAAAAATTGTTTTCCACCACAACTCCTAAGGACTGTGTTTCGTTATTCACCTCTGTATATTCAGTCAAAACACTTGTTTAAAAAGAAAGGCCTTTCATCTTTAATCCAAATCAAGTAGGTATCAATTTGCTCAGATTCAGCTGCATGCACACAGCAAAAAAAAAAAAAAAAAAGGATTAAAAAAAAAGAGCAAATACATAAACCCCACATATGTGTAAAACCTGTAGAAGAGCAGCGCACTCCCAGCAAGAGTCTATTATTTAACTGACTTAGGGACTGGAACATAATGCTGCATCTGAAAGATCTCAGAAGTATATGTAAATACAGCTCTGCTACCACTGAGAGTGAATTTAAGAGTTTGCAACTATTTAAATTATGTAATCTAGTGTATCTCAAATTTTAATTGAAAGGAACAATTTACATTGTACTGTAGAGTAACATAAAATGTTTTAATAATTATGTTTTAATTACTTCAGGTGGATATTTTTTCATATTTGTATTATGGAGTATGTGTTTCACTTCGTATGGGTGGCATTCAGATGAGCAATGTACCTACATCTGCTCTGAGGATCCCTGAACAGAATTCAGGGCTACTCCAAATGGGACTGGGTGAATGGTACAAACCTGCTACTCAGATTCTCACTAGACAGTAACAGATTGGCACAAACCCTTTTGCTCTGGAGCCAAAACTGAAGCCACAAATAACTGCCCCATAAGGTCTAGCCTCTCTCAGTTGTTCAGCAGGGGAATGACTCGAAGCTGAACAATGGTAAAAAAAGCAAACAGGGCTTAACCTTTTCAGCCTGACATTAACACTGACCGCTGCTTTGCAAAATGTCATGCTGTGACTTACACAGCAAAGGCCAGATTTCAGCCTGGAGGCTAAACTAAAGGAGCCTAAACTTTGGTCCATGGATCTGGGAGGACAGCCTGTAAATGTTCTTTTAGGCCCACAGGGTAAAGACAAAGCCAATCATTATTATTCACTACCAACAAAATATTTTTGTTACAGGCATTTATTTCACAGGAGGAATCACACAAGCGCATTTATGTATTTCTCCAGAAGTCAACCAGTATCAAAGGTCACCAATGAAGGCAGACAGAAGACATCTTTGCAAAGGTAGCCCTAGTCTTGTAAAGTCACCACTGACCCAGCATCTGAGCAAGCCTCAAACTGTTGCCCAGTGCTTTGTCCTCTGGCTACAGCGGCCAGGGCTCGTTGCACTGTGTCAGACACCACTGATGTGTGCCTACTGGCTGTACCTTCTCTTGTTCTCCACCATCCAGCATTTTAGTGCTGCATCTTGTCCTTGAGGAAATTGGAAGATTTGCATAATCTGGAGGGTTCCCAAGACATGAGCGTAGCTGCACACAGCTGAGCTCTGTAGCGAGCAATAGCTGTCAGAGTGATTGTCAGGGCAGCAGCCTCAGGTGAGCTGGAGTTCCCTCCAGCTCTTTCTAATCACTAGACAATAAACTGTTCCCCCAAAAGTTTGCCATTTGTTTTTCACAGAGACAGATGCCTGAGCAGAGCAGCTGCTAGAGGAAGATTTCTCTTATGCTGTAGTGACAGATCTCATTTATGAGCCTTCAAGCCCCATTCACCTCACATGCAAAAAGCAACAGCTTGTAGCACCTTTGTCTTCTCTCCCAAAACCACAATGGTACCGCCACCTTCTCTTCATTTCTCTGGGTCACCTCTGACAAGAGAAGGCATAAGTACAGTAATAGTCCAATTTATCCAAACAGTGAGTGGCTTTCACAGCCACAAAACTGCTGCTTGCTGGAATGTTTTCAATTACTTTCCAGCACAGTGATTTTTTTTCCACCTCAATTCATGCTCGAAACCACTAGTGGACCGTTTGTACAGTCATATCTTTAAATCAAGATACCTTCAGCCAGCCTGGCGGTTCAAAAAGGTTAGAGAACAATAAGTATGTAAAAGATCTGATATTTAGCATCAATCTTATGTTTGGCTGATTGTTCAATTTGTCAGAGTCAGGGTTTTTCTAGGTATCACAGGAAGCACCTGCCTGCCAGGCTCCTGTAATCATGGCCTATTTCCTCTGAACCAATCTCTCCCCAGAAGAAGGTGCATGAATAATCACCGGGTATTGAGTTATGAGCAGAACGTGTACTTGGTGCTGTAGCCCTGTTCTAAAGAACCTGTGCCAAGAACAGTAAGTGCAAGCCCTTTGATCTGGGACAGCTACGGGAAGCGACAATGGGATTGCTGCACCTGTCAGACTGGACAGAGGTTGTGCTTCCAACACACTTCCAGCTGCTTTTATGTACCTGGTGTGTGCAGCTGCTCACCTGCCTGTAAATTACAGGTGTTGAAAGGGGACATGAGCAGGAAACAATCCTGTGAGTTGCCTGTGGTGTGGGGTGAGGCAGCACAGGAAGGGCAAGAGTGTCACTACACTGACAAGGCAGTAGATTTCCATAATCCTCAGGCACCCTTCTGAACTAGATGATCCCTCTCCTGGGAAGTTCCAGGTTTTTCAGTATCACATGTACACATCTTACTTGGCAGCCATGGAGATTAGTCGTGCTGTATTTTTCCATTTCTGATTAACAAACTGACAAAATGCTATTATAACCTCGGGTACTTGGAACAGGGCTATCTCCAAGCCAAGAAAGCAATTATTTGTTCCAAGCTGGCCGTCCTAGGTCTCTGTAATATTTTTATGCCTTTCATTGTCATGACTGACAATACTAAGATTACTTTTCAAGACTCCTGCCCACTGAACTTATCGAAGTAATACAAGCAGACCTTTCTGGAAGTACTCCTTGTCAGGCGGAAAAAAGAAAAAGTTGGTTACTCCCTTGATTTACCAGAACTCATAAATGACCTTTAAAAAGAATTTTGTATAAGCTTTACTGGTCACTTACCAAGAAAACAACAAAAGACAGTCTTTATTTTTAGAGTCCATGTAGTTTTGAGTTCTGAAGGCAGACACACAAGACAACAAAACACTGGACTAAGAGCCCTCTATGAGCTCAGGTCCCAAAAGAAAGAAGGAATAGCTACTTTATGAGTCACAAGGCTGGGTGGGAAAGCCTGAAGAAAACACATGGAGATGAAGAGCAAATACTACAGAGGGCAGAGACTTCTGCTTTAGTGAATAGAGATCCTCTCCTTTATGGTGTCCTCCTACTTTCCTGGTTGTCAATAAAGGAAGTGCAGATGGGGAAGGGGTGCTCAGTGTGGGTCTCCACTATTTGAGCAACAACATATCTGAGAGGGAAAACCAGCTTTGATCTGGCAGCAAGGAGCTGTCATTGGAGACTGAGATTGACCTCAGCATACCCCAAATCCTGAAAAAAACTCTGAGATCATCTCAGCTCTCCTGGCTTTGCTGCATAGGAATTTATAATACAACAGAAGTCCCAGAAATATTTTTTTTTTCCTCCAGCAGGAGATCTTGGTGAATCTTGCAGTCTTCCTTGTCCCTGAATGTTCTAAGGGAAAAAAGTTTAAATCTTCTAACACCATGTCAAAGATCCCTTCAGGGCTTATGGATGAGGCAGCTGTAGTAACTCTCATTTTGTGATGTCTCCTCTTAAGTGTGTGCTGGGGAACTGGGTAAGATTTAGCTGGAACTAGGCTAACATTCTCTGACTTGAAACTGGAAAAACCTGGAACTGAAAGCAACAGAGGAAACTGTCATCCCAGAGATAAGATAAATATTCAAAGCTCTCTCTGTCATTGAGTGACCTGTCACTACAGTGGAGTATGAAGGAACAAAATGTCTTACTTATCAGGCAGATGAAGGAACTGCCTTATTTGTCACATACTGCTGCAGAGGAGCAGTCTGACCAGACACAGATACAAGCAATCAAGAAAAAAGGAAGTTTTTACAGTAACACTGTACAGTCAGAAAACCCCAGGCAAGCCCTAAGGGCACTCATTAGACAAAAATACACCTCCCCTGGGAAGCTGAAGGTGATCCCCTAAGGGAAACCTTTCTACAACATGATGGAAAGGTTGAGTGATAGGAAGAGATCTCCTGTTCTTCAGCAGAGATGGAACAACACTTTGGGGCAATAAGAACACAGGCAGAGCATCCTCCAGCACTGGTCTGTGCCAGGCTTGACTGGGAGCAGTTACACAGCTGGAAAGAGTTGAAAATATAGCATTAGGCCCTAGGTCCAGTAGCAAGAATTAACATAATAATTTCCAACTTTCCAGCTCAAATCCTGTCCCAGTGTGATCTCCACCAGAACAGGCTTTGCATCCCTGAGAAATGATCTCAGCTGCAATTGAGAAGACCCAGCCTGCAAACAGCCCTCTCAGGGAAGGTTCTCTGCATGGAATCAGGCAAAGGATTTGTTTGCAGTGGAGGCCCAGGTCGTTTGAACTCTTCTCTCCTAGGACAGGAGCTTCCCTTGCAATGCCAGAGGCACATCCCTGGGAAGACTTCCAGGAGAGCAGAGCACCTTGCAGAGCTCAGACGCTTACATTTTCCCCAGGATAGGTGTTTGTACACCCAGAGTATGAATGTGCAGGTAAACAAGCACTCAGACAAGGAGTGTATTCCTTTCAAGAAAGGGCTGGTTTTCAAACAGCCATGTTCTCCTTGGCCAGGGCAAGCCCCCAGTGCTGACCAACCAATGCAGACCCAAAGTGCCAGTTTGAAGTGACAATAAGCAGGCAATGAAGCCTGCAAGGAGATATCCATCTTACCTAATTCATGCCTGACCCTCAACACACAGACAGGAGATACAAAACGGATCGGAGTCTTCCTTTTGAAATCCACTCATTTTACAGCACTCCATGAATTCAGCAGGGAGAAGACTGAACAACCCCTACACTCTTTAGTAGAGCTGCACCCATGCATCCAAGTGTAGCTCTCTTTACTAGAGCTGCATCCTGTGACAGTAGTTAACTAGAGAAGATGGACTGTGGATGGGTGACAGGTCAGGATCCACACACAGACCCCCAGCATCATCCGCGTTCATGTTCTGCTCCCCTTAATTGCCTTGGTGCATAATGACCTTGCTGGCTGACAAACCTGGGTGAGGCTCTGCAGCTCACTCACTTTGCAGTGAAATGAAGGCAAATTATTTGTTCAGAGAGAAAATCCTTGGCAATCCTCTCAAAACGGGAAGCAGTTGAATTATGGTGAGAAAAACCATTTACCACACAGTGTTACAGCTCAAGAGAATACGGAAAGCTGGCACTGCAGGGAAAGGAAGAAGCCTCCTTCCAACACACTGGAACAGCGTGGAGGGGGGACTGTGTGATGCACCAGGTCAGGAGCAAACACTGCTAAAAAATAAAGATTGTTTCACCTAAATCAGTTCCTTGATCCAGCTCACTGCACAAGGATGTTTGCTGGCACCAGGAAAGGGCAGCCTGGAGGTGATAACATGTCCTCTGACAAGTGCCAGTTTAAAGAGGTGGCTGAGCTGGCTGCAGTTAATCAATTCCAGCAGGCAGAGCCCAATTCAAGAGCCAGCCCCAAGGTCTGTTGTGCATCCTGCTCACCCCCGCTTCCTGAACTGTTTCAGGTCAGCACTTTCATTGATTTGCTGGCCTTCAATAGGCAGGGCTAGAAATAAAGAGCCATTAATCAACTATTTAAGCACCCTTTTTACTGAAATAAAGAAAACACACAGAAATGACATCAAGATGTGAAAAATCCAAACAAACAAATTAGTGAATACGAAGATGATCCAAGAGAGCGCTCCCAGGAACACACTTGAGGCTGAAGTGGCTCAGGGAACAGCCGTGCTGGGTGTTGAGTCAGACTCTCCAGTGCTCCTGCACTGACTCACTCCCCTCCCAGCTGCCAGCACACGCTGCGCAGTCCAAACTGTACCAACTGTTTAGAGTTCAAGTGCACCTGATTCACCGTGAGCCATCAAGCTCCTGCAGTCCACTGCCATTCCCTGCTCCCCCTTCCCTACTCAAGTCCTTCTGGGTTTTCCCTTCTTCCCTCTACTCCCAGCTCCGGGACAGGAACATAACTTACCAATTAGGATCAGAGAAATGTGCAGGTTCCTTGCAAAGGTCACAAGGTCCTACAGGCTACTGCAGTGCAGAGAAAGCTACAAAAGCATCCCCATCTTCCCCTGCTGCTGCCTAGGGAGAAAGTTAGTGCTTTTCCCTTCTCCAGACCCACACTGGGAATGAGCTGTGTAGCCTGGCTCTTGCCAAAAACAGTGCTTTTCCAGAGGATGATGCTAGGCTCTCCCAAGACTTAGAAAAGGAAAAACAAGCAGTTTGCTAAACACCCTCCAAAAACACAACACTGAGTATCTCTTTCTTGGGCACTTGCTCTTCACAGAGCCTTAGACAGAAGGATCCCACACCTTGCACCTCTGTAAGCCCTAAGAACCTTGCTCTTCCAGTTGTCCCTCCCACACTGGCACCTGTGGCACAGCATTGCTTCATCTCCACCAGCTCTCAGAACCCACCAGCAAGAGCTGGCAGATGTGGGATCTAGTGAACAGCTGCATTAGGCTCTAAAGTTCACTGCCTAATGCACTGCCTAAGCAGACCTGCTCCATGACCAAAGGCAACTGGAGCACCTGGGACAGTCAGCACAAAGCCTTAACCAGCAGCTGCCCCAACACGTGGCCTCACATCCCAGTCCCACATGCCAGGAGTCGTAAGACACACCAAACTGATGCTCAGGTAACCCTTCTCTATTCTCCTGCTCCCACAAATTTCCTGTGTGACCTTGAAGTGCACAGCTGTGTCTGCACAGCCTTAGGGTGTTGGTTCACCCCCCATCTCTGGTTTGGGCAGTAAAATTGGCTTAAGCTCCTTCCTTCCTCCCACTGCCACAGCAGTTAAGTTGAGAAATAAGCAAACACTGGCACAGGGCAAGAACAAAGAAATACTTTGAAAGCTGTTACATTGCCACAGGGTCAGGAAGTTACACCCTCATTTTCTTCAGCTGTGAAAGGGGGATATTGCCATCTCCCCGTGTTAAGAGACATAAGATACAAAGGATGAGGACAAACATGAAAGATTATGAGATGCTTTTAAAATAGTCTTGCCACCTCTTAGATTGTTAAGGATAAACTCCATAGCTCTCCTGTTTTACTTGGTGTCATTGCTCAAAGTTAAAAAAATATTTTTAAAAAAAGCCTATGAAATCTGTTTGCAGCTTGACTTTGCACTTAGAAGTGTTTAGAAGTGTGCCACTGAACAACTACAGCCAAGGGGAGGAACTCCATTATTGTCCAAAGACAGCTGAAAGATGAACTGAAATGCTGGTATTCCAGAACAGGTTCCCAGCAAGGGCAGCAAGTAACAGCAGATGATCAGACAAAAGGCAGAGGTACCAAGTGGCCATAATCAAAGAACAGCTTTTATTGGCCAAAATAACCAAGAAACCATGTTCTTCCAATAAACAAAACAACCCCGTAACTCAGTGGTAAATCTTCTCTAAGAAACCGAAATGCTAACAAACCCCGCAGAAACTTGACCATTCCCATTCATCCTCTGAAGTATTCCTCCTCCTCCTAAGTTAGCTGTTCTCCTTAACCCTCCTGCACCACCAGGAGTAGGAGAATGGCAAAACTCAAAGTCATTTAGGAGAAGAGAATGAACACATGGGGAGGTATGACTCTGTCCACTTCCATACGTCAAAGAGACTGTTGGTGTTTGCAAACATCTTACATACTTACCTGAAAGCAGCAACTTCCCTGTTTCTGGATATACAAACATTTTACTACACCAACTATAGTTTCGTGGTGGTTTTTTGTTTTTAATCCCATGATACAGGTACAGCTGTGGCCTGTACAGGTTATTACAACTCAGACACCACCTGCAGTTTGTCAGTTTACACTTCTCTATTCAGAAAACTTGGAAGTTAAAAAAACATAAAAATTGGTTACACTGAGTTCTCAAGGCAAATCATCATTTAAAACACTGCATTTACTCATGCCAGTAAAACAAATACTAGACAGAGAAAGCAGGTGCCTAAGAAAACCTTGCTCTCCCCGGTAACTGAAATATTGGTGGAAAGAAAAAAAAATATGAGAGAGAGAGGAGAAAAGAGATATGCTAGGGTGCAAGACACCAGTTCCAATAGGAATTCTCAGAAGTATTTTCACCAATTTCTCAATTACAGGGGGTACGTTAACAGAAACCATTAAAAAAGAGATCTGGTTCATAAACAGTTATGCAAATGTGTTCAACTTACATAGATGAAAATTTAAGAAACAAAAAGGAAAAAAAATGTATCTTAAAAAAAGGCCAGTATTTACACACTGTGTTTCTTAGAAGATCTCATATGTCAGTACTGAGCTGTGTGCTGTGCACACACCTCTGAGGGTACGTGAGCAGAGACAGCCACAGCACTTCCCTGACAGCAGGGAAGCAACACTTACAGAACTAATGGGAATCTCAGCTCATGGGAGTTACTGACTTCTATTGCTGCTGTGCAGAGAGTGGCACCGTGTGTTTGACAGAGGAATTCCACTGGAAACAGTCTCCTGTCCTAATCTAGACATGATTTTACAAAACATCTAACATCTGTACTACACCTTTTATAAGAAAATAGAGAGCAGCGTTGAGCTGCAGTTCTTCTAAACTACTGTAGGAAGGCTTCTCTAGGTACTTCCTAAATTGGCAACCATCTGAGGTAATCGATGATGCTGTTCCAACGAGCATCCTTCCCTTCACTTCTCCCCGCCTGTACCAACTGTTGCCTCCTTACTGAGTCCTCTGATCGACAGGTCGTAAACCACTTCCTCAATTTTCTTGACGTCATATTTCAGGCCATCGTAGCGTTTCCTCAGGGAGTCGTTCTTCAGGTTGAGGAGGCGGAAGCCAGAATCCAGCTCATTGATAAAGGTTGAGATGCGGAGAGGGCGAGAATAGTCCCCAGCTGTGACACTGTTCACTGCCAGCCTGGCCTGCGAGAGGAGACACCAAGAGCACAGCGCCCACATCACATCACAGTCCCCATCAGCTACTGTACCAAATGAAGCACTTGTGTTCCTGGCAGATTATTGTACTTAGATATACCTTTTTGTTGAGCATAGTTCTGGATTTTCAATCAAATTACTAGTTTAAATCTTAAAAAGTATCACTGAAGAACATGCAGAGAAGCATCTTGCTACAAGTTCAGATCAAGGTGTTGTGTATCATAACCATCAGGAACAACTCAGGAAAGCTAAAAAACACATTACTTCAATTTTCAAGGTCAGTTTCAAACCAAAAATACATGCATGCATATCCTGCTTACCAGCTCACTGGCCAGAGTTAATACACCAGAAAGATAATCTTCAATGTCCAGGTGAAAGCCCCGTTCTCGATCAGCTTCAACTGAGAAAAAAACAGAGCAGTGGCGAGATGGTGCTGAGCATGAGCAAACCCAGCCACCTTAAATTGCATTTTGAAATATCAAATTTATGAAATACTATTACAAAATAAAAGTCAGCCTTTTCCTGTATGTGATGTAATTACAGCCTCTCTGTTCTTGATTCAGCATCTTGTGCATCCTCAACTGCACATCCAACAGAGTAACTAGATTTATATCTATATACAGAATGTATTTTCCTTGCTTTTTTCAAATATTTTGCTCTGTGAAGATACAATTTTTTCATGGCAAGAATTTAATCTGTTTTACACACTTTTCAGATACCAAAAGCAAGAAGTTAGAGAAACAAGCTCTCATCTTTGTGTCATACTTTTGGTGCATTTACACACTTTGAATGAATGACCTTCATTGATGAAGAACCTATTAATGAATAAATACTTTTGTTAACATTAGGTTTTCCAATTTCCATCTTCTGAGAATCTATTGTTTATATAATGAAATCAAATACCAGATAAACTCTGGAACTGATTTCTGAGGAAGAAATTAAGTTCTGCCGTTTCCCTGCACCTCTGAAAGCTACAATGTCTAAGGTCACAAGCTTTTTCTCTTTGGTTACAACATTAACTTACTCCCAAGTATTTCTGCAACAGCTTCTCGGGTCACTAATGTTTCTGACTCCAAGTAGACTACAAATGCTGCCAGGAACACCAGCCGCTGCAGCACAAACCTCCAGTGCTCATGAAACCTGCAGAAAAAACACCAGGTCAAGGTATAAGTAATTAATGCTTATTACTGGAGCGTTAGGCAACAAGCACACATTATGTGTGTGTTGTGTTTTCTGCCTTAACACATGCATTTTACAGTATTTTTGGTTTATCAAAATGACACCAGCTAAAAGACATCTCCTTGGTACTCCAGAACTCCACACCCAGGTTACCACACCAGACACTGACATTTGTTCACCCCTCTCACACACCTCCTCAGCTCCCACACTTTTCCAGGCTGTGTTGCCCACAGACAGCCAGAGCTTTCCCTCAGCAGATCTGAGCTGACAAGATTCTTCTTCTTTGAACTGTTCTTGCCAGGCACTGTCCCCTTCTGGCAGCAACAGAACACAAAGGTGACAACTTAATTTAGTGTCTGCAGAACCAAACAGCCATTTCATGACAGATCTAGAGCTCTGCTTCCAGGAACACCCCAAACCGAACAACTTAACTGAAATTAATGGAGCAGCAAATGCCCTGCTCCCAGATACAAGGGCAGCTCCAGCAGAACACCAACTTCTTAAGCTTCCCTTTTTCTTTTGTAAGAAAAATTCCAGAAAAATAATTCAATACTGACTATTTTTGGTGAAAAGTTACAGTGTTTGAGCAAAAGCGTTTTTTATCTATGCTGATAAAAACCTCACTTGTCTACCAGGATTTACTTTCCAAAGAGAAAGAAGCATTCAACCCATCAACCTTTACATCATTATTCCAAAGCAATGATGCCCAAGCAATTCCCATATTGTGTGTCTGGCTGTGTGACTCTGCACACCTGTAATACTGATCAGCAGGAAACTTGGTCTTCAGAGACTCCATCTGTGTCCTCACTGTACCAAAGTGCTCACGAGCCTTCTGACACTTCTTTGGAACTGAAAAAGAAACAGCACAGCATTCAGGGAATGAAATACACTCAGGAAATGTATATTTGACAGGCAGCAGAGTTTTGTAAACAAACCCAGTTTATTGTTCCCCAGTGTAGATAGCGCTATTTACACTTCTTTCTTGTTCAAGAAAGGCTGCTGACACTTGGAATCAATCTGAGAAATATTCCTGGTGACACCATGAGCCATAGAGGTAAAGCAGAAAGACTCTGGAATTCGAGGTTGTCTGATCTGCTCTGGGCCTTTGTTTTGAACTTGAGCCAAGATATTCCAGCAACAGCCAGATCCCAAGCAATGGAACAGCACTGCACACAGCAGCTGGCCCCAAAGGAAGCACACACCAAGCACTGCTGCCAGACAACTCTCACAGTCAAAGGAAAAGCAACTTTTCTTTCTCTATATTAAAAATTTATCCTATTTTTTTTTCTAATCCATCAGAATTCGGTTACATGAGGTGCAGTATCCCTTCAGAAAACTGCATTTCCTGTTTTTCCCGATGTATTTCCAGAGCCTGTGTTGCAGCCTGCCCAGTGTGTTACACACTGCAGAGAAGTGATCTCTGGTTCCTGCAGCAGCCACTGCCACCTCCCGTTCGGCGGCAGAGCTACAGCCCGCCGGCACTGCCGGCCCGAGGGCTCAAGCCACGGCTTCCCCGCAGCCTCGCACAGCTGTGACAGCCTGGGCACAGCACAAGGAAGGGTAAGGATCGACCTGACAGGCCCTCCTGCATCTGCATGTACAGAAGCCAGCCTTCACAGAAGCTAAATCTGAAAGCTTGATGGTTTTTACCTAACAACACCTACTAAAAGTCACTCAAGTGTGATTATAAGACTTCTGGTTAAAAAGAGAGAGGGAGAATGACATGGAATAAATGAAAGCTTCAGGAAGCAGAATGTGAGAGTGCTCCATGTGGCAGCCAGGATGGAAGAGCTGTGTGAGAGCTACAGGTTGCCTCAATCATGTGAGCATCACGTGGCTGGGGAACAGAGGAAGGAACACATTCACATTTGGGTTCTGCCAGAGGCACCTGTGTATAAAAGAAACAATCCTTACTGTAAAGGGCATTGTCTAATGCCCAGTGACACACACACACAACCCCCAAATTCAAACTGCCCTTGCACAACCAGAAGAGTCTCCTCAGGTGCCACCTCTGATGTTCTGCAGTCACAAGAGCAAACACCAAGCTGGCTCTCAGGCCCTGCCTGTCACCCTGACTGCTCTCAGGCAACGCTGCCCTGCCCGGCTTTCTCTGCAGCCCTGCAGCTCCATTTGGGACAAGCAGCCAGGGAAGCCTCTGCCAGATGACATTTTAAAAGCCACTGGTGGTATGTAAAGCTGCCCTCCATCAAACTCCCAACTATCCCATGGTTTTACTAACAGAGCTGAAATTGATGACAAATTCACAGGTCTGCTATCACAAGTTAACTCTTGACCTATTAAGCATTAACTCATTATTTTTGCAAGAATTATGAGGCTCTGGGGTTTTTGTCTGATTGGTTTTTGTTTATTTATTTGTGGTTTTTTTGTTTGATTTTTTTAATTTGTTTTGCATTTTCTTAGTTGGTTTTGTTCTTTTTTTTTTTTTTCCTTTAACTATTCCAAAGCTCTTCTCAGACTCCTCAAGTTCCAGGACCAGCTCTCTCCAGGAATTAGAAATCAAGTGAAAATACACTGAGTTGAACATGGGCTTCTACAACTACATGCTTGAAAACGACTCTGAAGTTGTTACCCACACAATGACCATGGATTTTGCCAGGTTAGAGAATTGAGCTTGTGCAAATCACTCAGCAGCTCTGACTTCAGCACTGCTGGGTTTCCCAGCAGATGGAAGTTGCACTTGCCTGCACAGCTCAAACCTCAGGTGCTGCTCACTGCTGAACACAGACTTTCTCTGAGGCCAGAGGAACCCCAGGCCTCCAGCTCCAGCCCCAGTGTGCTGGGGAGCTCATCAGGCTGAAAACAACCAGTCAGCCCTGCAAGGGAGTAAAACAGCACCTGGGGACGGTGCTCTGCAGAAATTCCTCTCAAGAGTTTCCAGCAAAGTCAGAATGTTTGCTGCTTCTCACAAGATATTAATTGACTGGAAAAAGCCCAGCTCTAAAGGGACATATTTAAGTTTATTGCAGTAGTTTTACCAGAAAGCTGAGAAATGAGGGGGCAGAAAGAGCAGATCTGACACCTGGGCCTGCAGAGCTGCTCTTGTGGCCTGGAGAAATGGGCTGGCCCAGAAACATTCTGTCCAACACTGAGAAGCCAAACCCAAACCTCCAAAGCTGCAGAACGATTCCTGCTGTCACTCAAGCAAACATCAAGAGCAGGTCCTGCTGTTTTAGCCCATGCAAATTCTTTCTATATTTTGCAGCATTAAGCAGATTTCACACACACAGAGATAATCTGTTTTGTACAAACCAGACTGAAGTGTGTTCCCCCCATCCCAGTCCATCCCGAATACCCCTGAGCACTCAGGACCACAGCTTTTTTGGAGTGTGGGGTGAAGAGATGAGATGGGGACATTGATCAAAGGCCCAACAAGTGATGATAACACAACCTATGTGCAAGTCACTTACAGGGAAACCTAACAGCCAGCATCCCAGGACGTGAACACCTGGAAAAGAACACGCTGCTCTGCACCGAGACAGAAAAGCACCACGCTAGGGAGGGGAGAAAGTGACAGAACGATGTCCATAATGCTGAACGGAAGCTTTACTACTTGTCTGGCTTGAAACCTCTCACTGCCCTCTCCTCAGCAGCTTCGGGAAACCCAGGCTGAAGGCCCCGGGAGAGGCTGGAACCTGGAAAAGGCGCCCCGGGGCAGGGCACCTGCGTGCTCCGAGGGCGCTCCCGCCCTGCGGCCGTTCTCCGCTGCCCGGGCGGGGCGCGGCGGCGCGGAACTCACTGTGCTGGAAGCCGGGCCCCTGGTGCACGCCCTGCAGCAGCGTCAGCATCTCCCGCGCCGTCTGCTCCAGCGCCTGCACCACCTTCCGGATCTCCTGCGGGCACAGCGCGCCGTCAGCCCAGGCACCGCACCGCCCCGCACGGCACCGCACAGCCCCGCACAGCACAGCCCAGCCCCGCACCGCCCCGCACAGCACAGCCCAGCCCAGCCCCGCACCGCCCCGCACCTCTCGGATGTCCTGGTCCTGGCCGAGCGCTGCCTGCAGCCCCGCGAACATCTCGCTCACCGACATGGCGCCGCCGCTTCCCGCCCCCCGGGCCTTCCGCGCTGCCGCGCCGCGCCGGGCTGCCCCGCCACCGCCTGAGCGGCCGGAGCAGCCAGCAGCGGGCGGAGAGGCGGCTGGAGGGTGCCCAGAGAGCGCTGATCGCCCCGCGGGTGCGGCTGGTCGCTGGCAGGGCGGGATTCTCTCCCCGGCCGTGCCCGTGTCCGTGTCCGCGCCTCCGGCCGCGCTCCCGGCGCTGCGGTCGGGCCCGTTGCTGGGAGACGGCGTCCGGGCGCGCGGCGCGGCGCGCGGGCAGTGACGCACTTCCGGCGGCGGGGAGGCAGCATGGCGGCGGGCGAGGCCATGGCGGCGGAGCTGCCCGCGCCTGCCGCGGCTGTGAGGACGGCGCCGCTCCTGGCGCTGGAGCCGCGGCTGCAGCGCCAGTTCCAGCAGAAGGTGCAGCGGGCCCGCACCAAGCGGACGGTCAAGGTGAGCGGGGCGGGCCGGCGGGGCGGGGGCGGCCCGGCGAGTCCCGGCCCGGGCTGACGCGGTGTCCGTACCCGCAGGAGGAGCTGACGCCGGGCGTGGTGTTCGTGGGGCATCTCCCGCGGGGCCTGTGCGAGCCGCAGCTCCGAGAGTACTTCGGGCAGTTCGGGACGGTGACGCGGCTGCGGCTCTCCAGGAGTAAGAAGGTGAGGAGAGGCCCGGGCCGTACCGCGGTGCGGCGGAGCGCTCGCAGCGCTGCCCGGGGCCGGGCCGGGCAGGCCCCGTACCTCCGGGGCTCTCCCCGTGCCCAGCGAGGGACGCGGAACGCGCAGAGGCCGCGGCACCCCGAGGCCCTCGGGAGCCCCGCGTGGGAGCGGCGGGGCCGGGGCTCCTGCGGTCCTTTTTCCGTGAGTAAATTCACTGCACCGGGATGTGCCGGAGCGCACCAGTTCAAGGTACAACCGAGGTGCCACGATTCTGTTTTAACTTGCTTGTTGTGCTCGATAAATCTAATTTCTTCTGAGTTTGCTGTCAGCATGGAATAGTGGAACAGCAGCAATGCAGAGCAGCTTTGGGGTTTTATTTTTAGCAAGTAGATACCTGTGACTAGTTTGTTTTGTGTACAAATATGTATTTTACAAATAATGCCATACCAATTTAGGACTAAATCTAGTGCTTTTCACAATTTCAGTCACTTTTGTGAAATTACTTGTGGTTATCTGAGAATAGCCTATGACTTTGGAAGAATAAAATAATTTTAATAGAGCCCTTCAGGTAGCAAAGCATTGTTTGATGTTTATTACTTGTCACTCACAGACTGGAGCCAGCAAAGGTTATGCATTTTTGGAGTTTGAGTCTGATGATGTGGCCAAGATTGTTGCAGACACAATGAATAACTACCTGTTTTCTGAGAGACTGCTGAAGTGTAAGTATAAGCTGCACTGTAAGTCCTCTAGCATGTAAAGCAAAATAACTTTTAGTTATTTCAGTTTCATTTTTTGACTGAGCATAGAATCTTAGGGTTTTTTTAAAGAAGTTTTGTCCCAGAAGTATTTTCTGTGGGGCTGAGCTTTTCATCATGTGTAAAGAACATGCTCAGCAGCTTTTGGTCACTGGTGCTGTTTTTTTCTCTGGGCTGACGTTGCTCTTAGTGACTGTGTAACATGAAATCTCAGGAAAAAGTTGTGTTTGCTGTAGAGATAGTTCCTTCCACAAGGAAACTCCTTGGCATTTGTAACTGCTGCAGGTGTTGTCTGTAAGGTTTGACAGAAGGAGGTTTTGAGTAAAAGATTGTTGAAATCACCGAGTTTCTCAGTCATGGTAACAACAGAGCTTTTGTAAAGGATTATGAGTTGACGTGTTGTTGTAAAGCAGTTTTGTCTGATCTTTCTGGGTGAAACTGTTAAACTGTTTTATCCATCCATCCATCCATCCATCCATCCATCCATCCATCCATCCATTCCTCCATCCATCCATCCATTTCTGTTACTGGCTGAGGACGCAGTGACCTTTCCTGTGCTCCTGACGCGCTGCACCAGCACGGTGTAGCAGCCATGGGCTGTGTTGTGTGAGTGCCCTTGGCAGGAAGGGGAGCTCTGCTGTAGCCCCGTGTCCTGTGTGTGGTACAGGTCAGTTCGTGCCTCCTGAGAAGGTCCATGAAAACCTCTTTAAAGGCTGTGACAAGATCTTTCGGAAGCCCTCCCAGCCGGCTGTGCGGCGCTACAACAGGATCCGCTCCCTGCAGGAGAAGGCCAGGATGACCAAGCGCCTGCTGCGGAAGGAGAGGCTGCTGCGGAAGAAGCTGGCTGAAAAGGGGCTTGAGTATGACTTCCCAGGATTTGTAAGTTTGGCATCGTTCCAGTGAGTGTGTTAAGCAAGATGTGTTTGTAGAGTCGTGCTGCATACATGGAAATCATGTGTTTTGTGTGGAACTGGCAAAAGAGCTGGAGCCCCAGGGAAGCCACTTGTGTTAGGAACTGTATAGAAGCTCCAGGGATTCAGTGTGGTGCTTGTAGAGAAATAATGGGTAGCAGCAAAGGGCAGATGTTCCTTTTCTTCTGTTGGTACAAGCAGTTGGATATTCTGTGGTTTAACACTGGAGTGCAGATCACCAAAGAGCAGAGGGGCTTTGCCTGAGCTCTGTGGGAGGCTTTGGCAGAGTTGGGGTTTGAAGGCAGGTCCCAAGACCAGAACTTCCATTCACAGCCCTTGCACGTTCCTCCTCTGCAGAGTGCTCGGGTCAAGTACTTGAGTTGTGAGCAGTTAATGCTGTTTTAGCATGGAGTGTTTTGAAAATGCAGAGTAGCACATTTTCTTGTGTTCCTTTCGGGTTTTTTTTGTTCAAATCCGATCACCTCTGTGTCAGTCAGTTTATTACTTTAAACCTATTTGCCATAGCAAAGACTTTGTATTTATGAAACAAATGTGTGAACTGTTAAGTGACTGCATCTTCTCACAAGTGTGTAATGATCCAGCTGATCTGTCTTGCTTCTTAGGCTGCACAGGCGCTTTCCAAAAAGAGAAAAAAAGTTAAAACATCCAGGAAATCAAAACTGAACGTTTCTTTGAGCAGCCAGGTAAGATGGACCAGTCCTGGTGGTGTCCAGTACCATCACACCAGTCTTCAGCTGGCACCTTAATGCTGATTTCAACACACAAAAACCTTAACATTGTTTGCTTGAGAGATGTTTGTGCCAGAAGTAGCTCCTTTGAGATGTATTTACACTCTTGAATGGGGGAGGGTGATAGAATCCTCGTGGTTCCTTCTCCTGTGGGAGTATTCAGCAGCAAAGGCTTCTGCTCAGCACGCTGTGACCAGCAGTGCCTGCCCCTCGGTGTGTCTGCTGTCAGCCTCTGCTGTTCACACTCCCTTGAGGCTGCAGTTGTGCAGGGTGCTGGGGCCAGGCACCTGTACACCCCCTGCACCTGTCCCTTACCCTGGGATAACATGATCTCCTTGATGGAGTCCTTCTGTTGGACCATGTTTCAATGCCAGCCTGTTTTGATAAAAAGGGAGTTGAATTGTTAATTTGTCCCTCCTACCCCATGCTCTCCAGGCACAGTATTTGGTGTTTTGGAAACAAATGCCAGGTAAATGTAGCAGTAGGGAAGTTCAGGTCATCAGGACTGAGATTTGGGATATTGGCAGTCTAAAAAGTCTGTAAGGCATTAACATTGCTGTTCTGTTTCATCATTGTTGTGAGTTGGGGGGGGCTGAGTGTTTGTTTGGGGATTTTTATTATTACTGGGTTTACTTTTTATAACTGGGGCATGGCTGGTTGTGAGGAAGATAGGATAGCTAATACATTTTGTCAGCTGAGTTCTGAAGGCTTACTGATGTAATGAAGGTGGGATGTTTCAGCTCTGTTGTAAAATTGAATGTGGCATTTCTGTATGCCAGTCTCAAACGTACTCCCTCACCCACCGCCCTGTTGCCCCGATTATATTCCACTTGACTTTTGTGATGCTTTGAGTTAGGAAATACAAAGTTTAGAAAGCAAATGTGCGTAACAACACGTTAAAAAATGTTAATTAATTTCCATTTGCCTTTCACATACACTTCTTTGAAGGTGATGCTTCTGTCCAAAGCAATAATGTCTACAAAAGTAGCTAGTTAAAAAATATAAACAATTGTCTGAAGGAGAGCCTGGCTGAGGTGTCTTGTGGTCCCACAGGGGCAGTGACAGCTTTTTCTGACAGATGGCTTTGCAGTGAATCCTGTTTTTCTGATCTCTTCAGGATCCTACTCCAGTCTGTACTCCAGCAGTGCTTGAGCGCCGGAAAGCTGCTCAGATGGATGGTGACACAGAGGATGATGAAATCACTCTCAAACTTCCTTCTGCCAGTGTTAAGAACGCTGTGCAGAGACCAAAGAAGCAGCCAAGGCAAAGGCCAAGCTTGAAGAAACAGAAACAGACTTAAAATTTTGTGGCTGTAGCTGTATTTTTCTCAACTTAAAAACTGTTGAGGTGGAGCTTCTGCTGGGTTTGCTGCCCTGGCTTGGTTCATCCTGCCTAGAGTGTTCCAGGTTTTCTTAGGCAAGGACTCTATTCACAAATCTTGTCCCTCTGGTTTACCCATCAAGGGACGTATGAAGATATTCTTGACTTTGTGCTCACAAGTGCCCGTGATGTGACACAGCTACAATAGTCCAGAATCTTTGGTTAATTTTGTAACTTGTGTCTAGTGCTCCCTGTCTGGAAAGAAAGTGTGAGGCTGTCTATTCAGAATTTGCTAATGTAAGCAACTGTATCTTAAATTTATAATTAATGACAGGTTATTAAAAAAATTACAATTTTTCAACTTTCTTTGCTCTTGGTAATGGTTCCTCTGTTTAACTGAATGTCTGTCTGTGTTTTGTGAAAGTTCTCATATATTTGCACCAATTGAGGCTCTTGAGAAGATGAACCAATACTCAGAGCAGTCTGAGTTCTACTGGCAGTTCTGTTGTCCTTTGTTGAGGCATTTTAGTTTCACTGCTTGCATGAAACCAAGGGTATCTTCTGCTCCAGGGGGTGATAAGCACATTGAAATATTTTAATAACCAGGAGTGCAAAGGCAGGTTTTTGTCAGCAGTAGTATGAGTTCAGAGAATTGAGCGCAGCTTTTTGTAATGCATTAAAATTCATTCTTGTTCCAACTATCTTGTCATTGCAGATGGCAGGTATTGCCAGATGGCAGTCCTGCTTGAACAGGCAATTTGTGCACTTAGAATTTGAATTTTAATGCGAGTCTGAGATCT